TACGAAAACATTGGTGAATGCCACAAATTCTCCTAAATCACTCGTACGCACAACTTAAGAACAAATCTGTGTGTACGAATGTTTCTTGCATGAGGCCCACTGTTTTTACATTTCAGAACAAAAGAAAATACCTTAATCACTTAAACGAGAAAAATACTGCATATAGCTTATACCAATCTTTCAAAAAACTAAGGCTGAACTTTTCAGGCATATTTCAGTTTCAAATTCTTTTTATTATCTAGTCTAGTCCTTAAGGTCTATTCTTGAAGTGGCTACCAGGCTACTACGATCTCACCAACATGTTTCACTCTTTGTGTTATTGATCACATATATTTGCAAACAGAACGACAGGAAAAGCTGTTAAAACGAACCTTTTCTGTTGTGAGTGTAAAACCCCGACAAAAATAACCTCATTTTAGTTTTGGTCAAATCTTCTGCAAAGGGACCAAAGAGTTCTGTGAGCTTCAGTGAGTTCTGGGTTTGATCCTGGGGACTCCCCTTCCAGCGGGATGTGCCCAGAAGACCTCCCAAGAGAGGCGATCAGGAGGGATTGTGAACGCACGCACAAACCACCCTAAGCCAGTATCTCGCTGGGCTGTGACGGCTGGCGACCAGTTGGAGAATGACATCCTTGACATTATCTTAGTTATGCCTCACTTTTGAGGGGGTTTCAAATTTCTCATTTGAAAGTTTTTCCAGTGGTTTACTCTTTGGTTTAAAAAAAATGAAGAAGAAGAAGAAAATAGTTGATAGCCTTCAATAGTTTTTATGTAACCCAGTGCAGGTTTACAGCTGCTCATCAGCTTTTAATGACTTGTTTTGGGATTTTTATTTTTTGCTGTTTTTTGTCTCTTAACATGCCACTCTATACCATCTGTTTGGAAAGCTATTTAATTAATTATTCAAGACGTGAACAGGAATGATGGAGGGAGAGTTGTGCTTGATAGGACGGGGTTTCACTGCAGCCTTATGTTTGGAGTCTGGCAGGTTTCTTGTCATTAGATGTGAAGGGGATGAAAAAAAAACGAGTGGCAACTGTTATTTTCTAATCAGTATGTTAATATGCACTTTATGAAACTTTTAAGGCATTTAGATGTTTCTGTGCATGTAAAGCACAGGTGCATCAGCTGAATTCATCTGCATATTTGCATTTATTCAACATATAAAATGTGTTCATGCAGATTTTTGGCAGGAGAGTGCTGGAAATGCATTAAAGTTTCAGCAGCACAGGTGTGCGGTGGCACGTCTGCAAATTCAAACTAATATTTTTGTAACGTTTCATATCATCGACACACATCAGATATTATATGTGGAATAGCTGCTGAAACATTTTGAGCACGATTTGATGTATTTTTCATTATTATTTTTGTTCGGTTGGCTTTTCTTTCTGTTTTAAATTCTGTTATGTTTCTGTTTTGGCCAGTCGGTGGCAGCAGAGCACTTCACTTCTCTTTTATCATTAGCTTTATTTATTTATATATTTTTTTGAGCAGCTTTGCAGCATCTTATTGAAGGTCAGAACAAACAAAAAGTGATGAGGCAGTAAATCAAAGAAGTGCTTTCTTGTTTTAGTCCCTCTTGATGTTTACAAGAACATTACGATGAATTCTTTGCACGTCTGCCTGCCTCTTTTCCCCCCTGCAGAATCGAATTTAAGCCGATGTGGATTACGAGGATCTTCACATATTGGAATTCCTTATAGGACAAAGGTACTCTTTTTCCTACCCAATGATGTTCTTAAGTTTGACCAAATATTATGGACTCTGGGTTAATTTCCAGATCACTCATTAAACAAGGATGCCATGACTATTCCAATCCTCTGTCATGGACCGTTCTGATGTTCTCTTCAGGGTCCAGGTGTGCTGCACCCATATGACAGTGGCCACATAGCCATGACTTACACTGGACTGTGCTCGCTGTTGATACTAGGAGATGACCTGAGTCGGATCAACAAACAGGCCTGTCTTGCTGGGGTTAGAGCTCTGCAGCTGGAGGATGGCAGGTCGGCGCACACATTTGCGCTTACGCTCTTATTTGTGCTGGCACTTTCACTCTGACTCACAAACACCTGAAGCCATGTGAACACAGACTAAATATAAACTGACACTACCTCGCTTTAGTAGCTCCTCTAGTCGGGCCTCAGATTGGAGCTATTTAGTTGCATTTGATCATTATTTTGTGAACAAAGTCTCACCTTTCTCTAATTCTGCTTAGAGCCTCAAGATTTCCGTTTTTATGATTCATGAGTAAGTTTTGTCTTAATGCAGGATAAATGATTGATCTGCTGGAATTGTTCTACAGTGATGATTTACCTTTTTGTGTTTGTAAAGCAGCCAAAACTTTGTAGCCGTTAAATGTTTGACTTATTTTATATCATAAAAATGGTGATGAGCTCTGTGGAACATGAGCGTCACATCAGGCCTAAAAAGTAAAGACATGAAAGCATCACTTCTGCTCTAAAGTAGAAATAAAAAGTATCATAAATATTCAATCCTTTTTTGTTTTTACAATAAAACATTTTACTGTAAGTTGTCAACTTTTGTTATGCAAAAAAAAACCTTTTTAAAGGGTTTTTAGAATACCAACGTAAAAAATAGATGAACCAGAAATCATACATTTGTTG